TGGCTAGAGGTGCCCCGAGCCTCTGATCGTCATTCCGGAAATTACACCTGCGAGGCGAGTAACGCGCAACCTGCCAGGGTGCTGGTGCACGTGTTCAAAGGAGATAATCCAGCGGCGATGCAGCACAGCATCGCGTCTTCGCCATCCGTCATGACGTGCAGCGCGCTATTGATGATGTTCACCACGTTGAAGCTCGTGTCGCATTCTACCGTCACGAACTGACCGTCGTCGGCGTCGTCGTCGTCGTCACGTTATCATAATCGCGTTCGTGTTGCATCGGGGAAAGAAACAGAATGAAATAGAGAATTTTTTTTCCACGTTTTCATGCATTTGAGATGTGAGAAAGGGAGGAGAGACTTGTGTGTTTTACGATACGTTACAGGTTGCGGTTCCGTTTAGGAAGAGACTCTGGTTCGATGGTGGAATTTCGAGGCTTCGATCTTCGAAAGGTGAGCGAGGTAGATCTTAAGGGACGAGATTGTAACGAGTGATTGAGAAATGGGTGTTTGCGGAACGATGGGACGAGGTATGTAACTGATCGGAGAAAAGGCGTGACCCTGTGTAAATAGAGCATTTGTGTATCGTTAGAAATGTGGTTTGTTCGAGTGAAACTACTTCGAGACAGGCAGACGCGTACACACCGGGGTGTGCTTGTCGTATTAGACGAACAATGGGAGAACGGTAGGTAAATGAAGATTTCATCTTCGTACCCGTGCCGTTTCACGGGTGCAAATGTAAATTGGACGTGTGGTCCGTCTGTATCATCCAACACGTTTGCTCAAACTGCACATCATTTCGCGCGAGTCGACACACACTCGCTGGCTGGCTCTCTATTAACCGTTTTGTGATATGTGTAAATGGGTGTAAGCTGTGTGTACTATCCACGATCGTAGAGGTGTAATTGTGTAATCTGTCCTGCGACGAAGTGGCACGATTAATGGCGATAATCCTGTCGCGATCCGGCTCGTTTTGCCCGGTCCAAACTTTCCAAACGATGTTCGAGTGACTCGTAGCGGCAACTTTATTCGCTCGACTATGTTAACTATCCACTCTCCTCCCGCCTCGACTAGCGGGGAGGGAAATTTGTTACGTTAATGGTGACGATGAGAGATCGTGACCAACGATCCATAATTTCCCCTGAAAAAATGAGAGGAGAGAGAGGGGGAGAGTGGGAAAAGAATAGAGTATCGCCATTTGTCAAAGTGTTAGTGCAGTAGAGTCGAGCGGCGGGAACGATTGGAACGGTTGTCGCGATACACACGACACTATCGGATTAAAAGCTTCGAATAATTGGAGGGGGCAAAACTTTGACCGTGATATAATGGAATATTGCATATTCGGCCTACACGTACAGGTGCGCGTAATTAATCGTGATAATCCCGGCGTAATGCAGCACAGCCTAACGACATTATCTTCTATTGCCTTGCTCCGCACAGACGACCTTGCTCATAATGTCCAAAATTAGTTCTATCTGACGTTCACGAAATGACCGTGCTCAGGTGTTATACACACACACACACACACACACACACATGCACACAGACATGACGTCAGTGAGAAACGAACCGTGGAAAATTATTGCGAAATGTGTAGGAATACGTTTGGCGCGCGTTAGAGAAAAAGACAGAGAGAGTGAGAATGAGAGAGCATGTTTTCGGATAAACATTTTAAGAAAGCGTCGTTATTCCAATGGAATTGGACAAATTAACGTGATATCGTGTTAATTGTACCATAATAAATAGGTAACGAGATTGTTCACGGTGTTAAAGTGAGAGAAGCGATGCTGGGGCGAGTTGCCGTTTCCGCCTGCACGAACGAAGAGACGCAACAACAACCGTTGCACACCTCTTTCAGGCCGATACGATGTTCCGCCGCCACGTTGTAGCATTGCCGCATGTTTTCAGAGCTAATCCACTATTTCCTAGGTAGAGAACCGTTGTTTCACGTATCCGTACACATTGTCGACGAGGATAATCCAGTTCTGCAAATAATAAACCGGATGGTATTACGAAATCCAGCCACGATGTAACAACGCTGTACGAGCGAGAGGACGATTCCCGTTGCAGAACTGTACATCGTGACTGTAAACCCCCACTAATGATCGCCATTGTATAAATATAGAATCGATGGTGAAAAAAAAAAAAAAAATGAAGAAAATAAGCGTAATATCTCTTCGAGCGTACGCGTCATTCGACGACGACGAATCTTTGATTTAACAAGATAAGTTACGATACGATGGATAATTTTAATGTGACGTTCGACGATACGCTGTCACTGTCGCCGAACGTCGCACAATGTTAATCTCATTTACGGTTGAATAAAGTTTTCATATAAATTCCACTTTGGACTTTTGGAGAGAGAGAGAGAACCGCGTGTACGCACGGGGACACTTCAATTATTCACGATGTTGCTAATGCTAATGCACCATCTATATTCCCTCCCTTTCCTCCTCCTCCTCCCCCTTTGTAAAAAGGTCGAACGATAGGGACTTTTTGATTTACGTGCGATCATGTTTTCTTAAATTTATGCAAATCAATACTCATGGGAGCAGAGTCGACGAAAAAGGAGGGCAAATGTAAGTAATGAATTATACCTTGACACACTCTCCTTCCATTACGACACAATGGAGAGAACGGTGTTTTCGTTCCTGTGTGTAATATAACGGGAGGGGGTCCCTCTTTATTGAAGTAAAATACCAACGGAATGCGATGGGTTCATGGTGCATAAGCACTTTCATTCATATCTCTCCCTTCCCCTCCCATCGCTGCCTCATTCCTCTCTTCAAAAGCTCTGTGTCGTCTCTCCACCTCTCTGGAGATAGAGAATAATTTCGCTGTGACACAGTTCGAAGCCTCGCAGTCGCCGATAATAGGTGCATGCTAATGGCATTGTTTGCCACATTAAAATTACCGCTTCGCTCAATCGGCACTAATTGATTATTAAGCCGCATCGAAACTATTCAAGAATTATGATCGCATTAATCGGCATGAAGTGAATGTTCAAACGGTCGGGGTAACCGCTGGGGAAAAATTTTGCGGTTCGATCACCGGGTACATCGTCGCTTCTTGCACTTCGAATATTACACGCTTCAACCCTTTACCCGCGAGAACCGTGTGCGAAAATGTGGATCGTCGGCGAGAAACATTTCTCCTGTCGATTCTACCGATTCGTTTACCGCGTTTTAACGAACTTCGACGTTGCAAGATTCTCTCGGGTAACCGAGGATTTTTCAATTGTGATTTATTCATAAGAGCGAGTAAAACAAATTTGCGAAGAATACGGTTTGAAAAATCGACTCTCGGTCAAGCTCAGAAGCGTTCGTCGATGTTAAGAATACCTGTGATTTACCTGGTTCGCATACAGTGAGAGCAAAGGATTATTTTACCATATCTTTACTCTTTGACATTCGCGGAAGATGTTCTATACGTCTTCGAGTGTATATTTTCAGGGAAAAATCGCGATTTCCATGAATTTTTCATTCTTCGAGGAATCATTATTCAAGCTATGTTCGTTACGCCTTTCTCTTAAAAAAAAAAAACACTCTGTTCCTCTGTGGAGAATGTGTAAAATCGTGTACTACACGGCACACTGGATACATTTTCCACGAGAACCTAAATGGTTGCACTTAAACACGTACGTGTGCGAAATGTAAACCTGATGATTTACTAGACTATTAGTTTAGCATAGTTAGAACCACCATCGAAACTAAATTTCACGAAATCGGGCTCTCGAGTGTCTCTCCATCGGAGACGGTTTTAATCGGCACTCGATTATGTTTACCATGCACACCATCAAACGCACTTGATCGAGAGGTTCGATACCAAATTGGAATGCAACGAGAATTACCTTCCCAGTGGTGATTTCACCTTGCTACTCGACTTGCCTGGGATATTGCACCATCGGGGAATAAGCTAGAACTCACTGTGTATCCGAAGATTTAATCTACGAATTAAAACATTTACATTATCCAATTTACGCCTGGAGAATATTTACTCAACCCACCCCTGAACCATCCTCTCTCTCTTCTTCGCGAAGAAATAACCTGGAATGTCTAGGTTATAGAACAATTAAAAGACGACGAACGTTGTTAAAGAGGGCCTCTTTAAACAAAAACTTTGTTTCATTTTTTCACCCCCTCACTTTTTCTTCCTTCTTCGAGGAACAATTTCCCGTTGACCCGATTTTAAGGCTGCTTCGAAATCAACGTTGCCCCGCAATCAGCAGCCAGCATTCGGCCGTGCTAAATTCGAATCGTTAATATCGTGTACCAACAGCCCCGACGTCATTATTCCAGAAAGATGACTCTAATCTGTTCCAGCCGGCTCGTCAACGATGCAGGACCGAGTCTATGCCGTCCCTGATTCGTGTCTTCGATAGGGATTACGTCGTACAGGACCTCCATTCCATCCACATCCATCAGAATATCCTCTGGATCGAAACGATCGCCTTGAAACCAGCCATTAAAACAACCGTAATACATCTCCGAAGTCAACAGAGATTAATCAATTTTGCATAAACAGACAGGTATTTTAATCCTTTCGTGACAAGTTGAACGCAGATGTCCCTCTTGAGAACTGTCAGAAATTTTCAAAATTTCGCTTATGTCCCTCTTGGGTACTCTCACAAAATTGACAAATATTTCTTATGTCCCTCTTGAGTATTCTCACAAAATCTCCAAATTTTTCTTATGTCCCTCTTGAGCACACTCACAAAATTTCATCTCAATTTAGCATCCATCACAGACGCGATAATTGGTAGATAGATAAGAAATTGTTACGGAGAATAATTCGGTCACGAGAAGGTTATAGAACACAAACGAATCCGCCAGCAGATATCAATGTTCCGCCGTTCACAAAGGATATACACTTGTAATTCCTGACTAGAGAAGTTTCAATAGGTTCGCACGAGGAGGACACTTTCGAACGGAATCCTATCCCGGCTGCTGCACAGCTTTCTCTCGACGTTACGTAGTACAATATTCACGAGTAACTTGACACGCTGCCACCGATCATTTTACATCCTCATCGATATGCAAGGAATCCTTTGGAGCAGGAACACGTCCCGGCGAAATCATTCCCTAACGACGATAAATCAGAAGGGTGGCCACTGGTCGAAACCACCGCTCGATATATTCCTGTGATTTCCAATGGGAGCCTAGGTCGAACTTCCGATAAAATTAAATGGAAATTCAGCCTGAACCCATGGTTGGTACCTCCATCCTT